TACGTAGAATGTCACAAATAAGAAATACATAAAATTGGGTGCTGCAGAATATCTTCCCTCCAAAATAAATCTGGGACAACTTCTAACATGTTATCTTCATCCGAATTGTAATACAACAGCACAATTTAATATTAATCCTTCCTTATGAAGAATCCCCAATAGAATTTTTACAGTGTTTTATAAAAGGTGTTTTTAAAAAAGTGTTTATAAAGTTTTTTTTACAAAACACTTTTAAAAGTGATTATAAATACATGTTAAGGAGTGATAATTCAGAAAATATTTACATTTACATAAGTCACTATACAAGAATGTACACACAGTGTTTATAATTCCAGTCCATTATCATCTTATCAAATTTTCTATCAGAAATTAGGCATTAGCGGTTTACATGTTGACTGTAGTTATAAGGGATACAATGTTTTCTAACAGGGTCAAGGACAGAGCTCCATTGCCTGAAACAAAATCCTCGTATCACTCAATTAGGACTGAGTTTTTATGAAAATTTGTAAACTGACTTTTCAGTTAAGGCAAACGATTACTCCTTTTCCTCCCCAGTGGTTCTGTGTCTACTGCCAGAATTCTGGGCCAACAGAAAATAAAGTAAATTCTGAGGCAGTGACACTAAGGAGAACAAAACTAGAATCCAGGACAGGACAGGAAAGGGGACAGCAGCTAACATTCACTACCCTGTGCTGGGTCTGTGCAAAGTTTCTGCTTTAATGCTCTTGACAGTTCTAAGTAACTGGCTCTGGCCCACTGTTTTCCTTACGTTCTCAGACAAACCTACAAAAGGATTTCATCGCATAATGTACCCAAATAAAATTCCAGAAGACCCCAGTCAGTGTGACCAGCTGACTGCCATCTCAGTCCCAGTTCAATCACTTACTGACTGTGAAGTCAGAGGAAGTTACTGCCCACTTAAAGTTCAGACTCCAGGTCTGTAAGACGAAGGGCTATCACAGCCATTGCCCCTTCATGACATTCCGTCCGCTCTTCATGTGAAAGTATTTTCTGAGTTTCAGACCAATACCTAACAAAGGGACTCTTAGGCCAAACTCAGTCATAAGTTAGGAGCTGCCAATACTGCTCAGGTAATTATTGTGTATTTTTAAATGCTCAGGATAATTAAATTATATGAAGAAAGGTGTATTTACCGGATATACTGCTTAATATTTTACCTACTTTCGTGATTAAGAAGATTCCTATGCTAGAATAGGTTTTAAGTTTCTAAAAGAATGCTTTATGCTATAAATTGTTACAACAATCATCTCCTCAAACACTAATGACAATGGTAGAAACGAATTCACTACAAGCACGTTGATGGCAGGTGTGGGCTGTCCACCAGCTGGCTCCATAACCTTTTGATCCCTTCGGACAGCAAATCTGTTCAATAGCCCTATGTGGTCATTCCTCATTTGCTGTGTGCTTTCTTCTCCTTTCACACATTCAGAATCCCTACTCCTTTAGCTTGACATCCTTTTATTAAAACAGAAAGCTCCCAGGAAAGAAAGCTAAAACTAATTTTACACTCAGTCAATATAAAAGTTCCAGAATAGGTTAATATATTGTATAGCAAGAGCTGTGAGTGTGAGATGTTTTATTTACATGCAGAATGTGTGTTTATTCTTTTGCTAAAAATAAATACGATTACAGTAAATGATAAGATTAAAATTTTAAGCCCGTCAGCATTCAGTTAATTTATAAAATACTCCAGGATTCTATAACTTAATACCAAGGATTTTAATTTACATTAATGGAAGGGTTTAAAGAACCAGCTAGTTTATGCTTAAACAATGATGAGAACCATTACGAGTAATTTCTTACAGTTATTTTTCTGCTCTATTTTGTTAAATTTAATATGGCTGAAAATGACACTGTCTGAAAACAGGATTAGTTAACCCAAATGTCTCATTCCTCCACCCCAACCCTATTTAAGATCTAAGGATGTGGGAGGAAGCGAGATAGAATAAATAATGGCTAAGAGAATGAGTTTTGTAGTCTGATATTCAGTAAGTGAAGGATCTTCAGAAACTTCTTTAATTGAGGCCTCTTGGCCTCAATTAAGTCATTTTTGGGGGAAAAAGTAGGGGTGATAATGACAATAGTGCCTGCTTTACAGGGTTATTGTAATTGTTTCATGAAATAACACAGACCAGGCATGCAGCAAAAGCCTAATGGAGAGTGTTCGATTAATGGTGGGCACTGCCATTATTTTACTTGTACTGTATGCTCTCTTGACGCACTAACAGACATCTCTCGCCTAGCAACATGTGCATGTTTGTCATTGGTTCAGAGAATAATTTGTGATCATAGAATGCCTTTACCATGCACCTAACTCATTTTCTTCTTTCTTGGAAAAAAAAAATAAAACAGCATCCACCACCAGTGCTAACGGCACCTCTCTTTCCAAACTGTCAAGAATACAACACTGTCCTAATCTTTAGTGTTTTTCTTAGACCTTTATATGCAATCTGTAATGAAGGCTTATTAGAATTATCTCCTATTCTACCCTATCTACATTTACATCTGGGTCCCCAATTCCCTTCTGTAACAGCCTCCCAGCTACTTATTCTACTTTAATCCATTCTCCCACTCTATACTAGTCCATCCTAAATAAAGATATCTTGAAAATGGTTCTCAATTTGTCCCTAATAGCGTTCTCCTTTTAAAAGCATCTCTAGTGATTTGCTATTTAGTTTTACTTTCTCTTTTTTTTTTTAATTAAAGTTTATTGGGGTGACAATTGCTAGTAAAGATACATAGGTTTCAGGTGTACAATTCTGTAATACATCCTCTGTATATCACATTGTGTGCTCACCACCCAGAGTCAGTTTTCCTTCCATCACCATATATTTGATCACTTTTATCCTCATCTATTATACCATCCCCCTACCCCCTTACCCTCTGGTAACCACTAAACCAACGGTTCTCAACCTTCCTAATGCCGCGACCTTTAATACAGTTCCTCTCATGTTCTGGTGACCCCCAATCATAAAATTATTTTCGTTGCTACTCTATAACTGTAATTTTGCTTCTGTTATGAATCATAATGTAAATATCTTTTTGTTTTCTGATGGTCTTAGGTGACGCCTGTGAAAGGGTCGTCCGACCCCCAAAGGGGTCGCGACCCACAGGTTGAGAACCGCTGCACTAAACTATTGTCTGTGTCTATGAGTTTTTGTTTCTTCATTTGTTTGTCTTGTTCCTTTGTTGTTTTCAGTTTTATATCCCACATATCAATGAAATCATATGGTTCTCGACTTTTTCTGACTTCTTTCACTTAGCATCATAATCTCAAGCTCCATCCATGTTATTGCAAATGGCACTATTTCATCTTTTCTTATGGCAGAATAGTAGTTTCACTTGCAATCTACTCTAAGGTACTCTCCCCATAGTTTGTCCTTAGATTGGGAGATCTTTTATTTAATAAGGTTTATGATGAGCTGATGAGCTAATCCTATTTTTGGGGAGATTATGAAGTTGATACCTACAAGTTACTGAACAAAGAGTCCCAGACTATTCAAATATGCAAAAGCAGACTTTTTTTCATTCCAATCTTTTTTTTAAGTTTTTTATATTCCAGAAAATTTTTAAACCTGTACATATTTATATAAGAACTTTAAGCCTAATACCTTACATAGGGTGACTGAAAACTTTTTTTTTAACTTAACTTCCTTTTATTAAAATGGAAAAACTCCCAGTAAGGAAATGAAAAACAATATTCTCTCAGTAAATAGTCTTGCCTAAACAGATTAAAGAATTTTAACTGGAGTTGTTAATTTGTGATGTTTTGCTTACAAGTGAAATAAACATTTGCATTTTTATAGATTATGAATGTATTTAACAAATACATAGCATGTGCCATGACCTATGCATGGTTCCATGTACTTAATAAAGATTAACTCATTTTATCCTCAAAATAACCCTATAAAGTTTCACTATCTTCATTCTATCTGTAACAAAACTGAGGCTGAGAAAGATTAAGTATCCAAGGTCACATACCTAATTGAACCACTACTATAGTCACCACTGGCAAATATCTGGCAGTTACACCAGTTATAATAATTATAATCATGTTTAAATCTTGTTTTCATTTCCTTCTTATACAATCCTGTATTGTCTGTCCTGACATGTGTAATGAGCATCTCATTACAAGAGTAACTGGTACTGGCAAAAGGTCATGTAAAATGAATACACCTAAAACCCATGCCAAATTTTCATAGTAAAAAGATTTTTTAAAGTTTCATTTGAGACTTTACCTTTAAAAAAAATGTAAAAATGATTTATTTCATCTTATATTCATAATAGATTAAAATTTTAATTCTGATTTTTTTCTTTATAAGAATAAGAATAAAGAATGAATCAAATGCTGAACTGAGATGAAGCATACTTTTTCTCAAAATAAAAAATTATGAGAGCACAAATATAACTTTTCTTCCATGCACACTTGATCTAGCAACATGATTCAAAAGGTTTTATTTTGCAAAAAATATTTAAAAATTCCAACAATTTTTTCCCAAGACCTTTCCCAATCCATTCAAACTCATTTGAAAGGTCCATTAGTCACATCCTTGCTAATTTCTCTTTTTCAATAGTACACTGCTCTAACACTACCAGGTTTTTATATCTTACGGATACACAATTCCAGGTTGAACTGGGAAAGGACCTGCCTTGTATTTGCACTTAAATATTATCAGATCAATATCTAACAAGCTGGCACCCACAAGCAATGGGCAGAGACAGAAGCTGGTGGTAAACAGAGTAGTAGGATTTTAGTTTGGGGACTCGTTTTATAAGGGGTCAGTCCATTAGTGAGTCACTAACCAAACTCCAAACCATAGGGGTTTCAGAATATGAACGAGCAGAATTTGAGGATCCTTGTTTCCGCTTTAAGGTAAATGACTCCCTTTTGTCGACAGGTAGTAGCAAGCACATGTGTGAGTTTTGGTGCTCTTCTAATGAGCATGAAAAGCTTTGCAGGAAAGCATGAGAACTCTTACGTGATATGACGTGGTCCATATACTGAGGTAAGTACGGGGCCCAGGCATCGATGGTTTCCTTCCGTCCCGCCTGCTCAATTCTTCTCAGTTCTGCAAGCAGCAGGGCCTGCGCAGCTTCTCTGACCTGCAACCACAGATCAAATGTAAAGCAAAAAGCGGGCCAGTTGGCGAGGTGTTTAAAACCTGGGAAGTTCATAATGAAGTAAAGCTAGAAGATGTATAGACCACATTTACTTACATGAGAAAAACTACTAACCAAATAAAGAACTAAGTACTTAACGTGGAATAAATTGGATGCCAGCAAATCATCAAAGACATTTTAATTAACTATTTCACTGAAAAATATTTTAACACTAATAGACTGAATTATGTTTGAACATGTAATCAGCTTTGGGTTTAAAACTTCATTTTCCAAAGCTTTCAAAATAATTGCACTTTAATTTAGCATTTTCAATTTTAAATCTTCTATATTGTTAAGTCACCCTAGAACTATGAAATTTGTTTTCTCTTTTAGCCTGAAGAAATTTAACCCTATCTAGTGAATTTCTTTACAATATACATACTAAATAGGTATTGTTCACACAAACAATACATGTATAAATCTACACATTCCTGTATACCTAAGACATGCTGGAACAATTTGTTTTCAACAAATAAGCAAATATAATCCTGGGTAACAACATTAGCTCTATAGAAGGACACATATTTTTCAAAATTATATGATAAGAACTTTTCTTTCCTTTTATGACAATTTTTATTTTGCTGTTTTAGTTTAGCTCTGTTTTATTTTGGCAAAAGTGCCATAGGCATTGGGTTAGAGAAACTAGTCAATTGTCAAGTGATTGACTATTTATAATTGAAAAGATAACGCAGCAGCATCTGATAAGAGCTTGAATAGTTTTTAATTATAACTGACTTTTGAAGTGAGATCAAATATTATTCAATGCAAAACCATGAAACTTTTCTTATGCTGCAGTTTCACTTGGAGTTGAGGGAAGAGGGGGGGGGGCAAATATGTTAATTATGTTTAGTAAATTAAAAATCTTGAATGATACAAACTGATACAGCTATATAGGTCAAATGCCATAATAAGGAAAATCTCTGTAAAATGTTTCCAAGTTCCTGGTGATATTATACTTCAAGCATATCTGATACAGCATAAGTCTATTAACACAGAATAAAGGCTGCCATTTATTGAGCTCCTACCATGTGTCACACTCTGTCCTTGCTGTTTTACTTGCATTACCTTACTTGACCCTGACAGCGATCCCATGAGGAATATATTATTATCCCCACTTTACAAATGAGCTTCAAATAGGTTAAGTAAATTGCCCAGGGTCACAAAGTTAATAATTGGCAGGATTGATATTTAAATCCAGGTCTCCTCTATTCCAAAGGCCTTCTCCTTTTATTATAACACAGTACCTTCCATTGGACTCTGGCACTTCACTTAGAATTTGATTAATGTGATTATACCTGAGCACGTGATCTGGGGGGAGGTGGGTACATGTATGTGTGCATGTGTACAATCTATATAGAAATCGATACTTAAGAAACAGTTCCATAAAGTAAACGAAACTTTTTATCAAATACTCATTGGCTAAAAAAAAGTAAATATGCAAGCAGAAACGTTACTGTTTAGTACATACACTGAAAAAAAAATCATGAATCCATGGAAACATCACATAACAAATAGGTGATAAGAAATCAGATAAACATTAACCATTTTTGTTTCAAATGTACAGTTGTCCAGTGCCTTTCTCATGTTTTTGTTTTCTAGCCATATCACCTTGACATTACCTCCAAGCATCGGTCTTGCCATCGCCGAGCAAGCATCTCTAGAAGTGGAGGCCGAAATTTGTCCAATCCTAGCAGGTCTGGCAGCATAACACAATGCATAGCAGCCAACTGACTCCATCCTATTAAAATGTAATATATTAAAAATACTTTACACATTTCATCATTCCCTAGTTCAAAGACTTTTTCTTTATGTAAGTATACTGGAAACAAACGAACAAAAAAGGCAGATCTGCAAAATTATGTTATAAATGATTTCAATTTATTACTAGGTATTTTGTACAATGAATTACAGTAATACCTTGGTTTGCGAGCATAATTTGTGCTGGAAACAAACTACTAGTATTGCAAGATATCACTCGTTTACCATGTTAAAATGGATTAGAAATGTTTGCTCATCTTGTGGAACACTTGCAAACCACGTCTCTCGGAATCCAAGGTTTTACTGTATATCAAATGTATTTCATCTCTGAATCATGTAACTGGTACTTATAAGAACTCTCAAAGTCTTAAATAAAAATAAATTTTCATATGAAGTATATATGAATTCTACCTAGAAAACACATTTCTAAATAGTCCCTCTAAAATACAACATATATTCAGGGATGGCAAAGTGTAGAAATAAACTGGTAGTAGGGCCGTAGATTTGAAGCTACTTTTAGTTAAAAGGGCATTCACACAGATATCCACAGGCAGGTTCATATCCATCTTAAGGCCTGGCCATCTGTGGGTTACCATCATGTCAGTCAACAGAGATGTCTTCCCTTCTCTGTCAGAGGGCCTTTAATTAAGGCACTTAACGATCACTTTTCTTAGAAAGTGAATCAGATATGTAATCACAATCATACCTGAAATAAGTAACATAACACAAAATTTTGAGAGGAAAAATGAATTCAGACATTCCACAAAATAAAAACCTGACCATCCAATATTTACAAAATCTTAAGCATCATTAACTTTAATTTATGGGAATAAAAATTATTTTTTCCAAAATTCTAATTCACAATATGGAACCTGATTATAAGAAGACAAACACTGTAAGTCACCACAATATTTAAAAGTACTAGTATCCAGATATTCTCAAATAATCATTTCAACCCTATTTTAAAGGTGTCTAAATATACACCTTTATATATACACATAATAAATGCCTCATTCTTCCCAAAATATATATATAAAGCCACTATCAATCCATAATAATTACCATTACCTCCTGTGGATAACATTTAACAACAAATAATCAAGTATAAATGCAAAAAAAATGTCTACTACCATATTATAAGGTAAGTTATCTGTGATCATCGAATTTCGGCAAATCAATGTTTTGAAATTATCTAAACTGTAATCTCCTAAAACAACAAAAATTCTACTGGGTTGTCAGAAAAGTGATGACATATTTTTTTCTATGTTTTTCATTGCAAAATGTGTCATGACTTTTCTGATAACTCAATACCTCAAAATAATTATTGGGATTGTTAAAAAGAGACAGTGAGTGAGTGAGACACAAGTCGCCTAGCTAAAGATTCATCCTTTCAGTAAGGAAATTCTTATTAATGGAGAATATATAATTACATTAATTAAGGTGGTGAGTACAAACATTTTAGACTCTAATTTATTTTCAACAGGGGAATGTGTTGACATACAGATATACACATAAACATATATAAATATACATTACTACCTCGTAATTTCTTAAAGTGTTTTAATGTCTCATAAAAGTGTGAAGTGTATTTATGAGCTAAATTTTAATGTAATTATCATTCTCACCACGCTCCCAAGTGAACAGCTTATTTTTGAATTACCAAATCTTTCCCAATAGCTTAACATATATGAACCTCATATTTTTGCTAAAACCCAGTCTTAACAAAAAATGAGTTAGACTTTTAAGTTCCCATGTTTTCTTTCCAAAGAAGTGGTAGTTAGAACACGGGCTCCGTGCTTTACAGAGACTGCGCCATTCTCTCCATCTGAATGGGCTGGTAATAGTGTTTTTAGAGAACAGTCGGAATCATTCTGAGTTACATTTGAAATTTTATGTTTCCTCCTCTTCATATTATACAAACTGGTGATGATTGAGCCCACAATGAAGAGAGTGGATAGAACTCAGGGCTCATGAGTTCCATTAAGCTTCCAGGCAGTATAAATAATCCTAGATGGCTCTTAGGGTACAAAAGGTTTGTGGATTCCATTCACATTTTCAGAGCTCCAAAACCACTTTCCACTAGTGTAACTCCACAGGCATAATATGATAGCCTAAGTACATCTTAAAAATTGAAATAACCATTTTTTGCCTCATCCAGGAAGAGAAATAGTAAGGAGGATAAAATAGGTCAGTTCCTATCAGTCTGTAATCACTGGTGCTAATCATTCTGAAGACTTCAAATGAGAATGTAAGTTAGGAGACCTGTCATATCCCCCTCTAACCAGGGCACATGGTGCATAAAGAGAGCAAAGTGTGTCTCTCAGAGCAGTGATACACAGAAAGTAAACTGATAGCTCTAACACCAGAGATCACATGGCAAACATCGTTATGAAAACCAATCCACCTTTTAATGGCTGTTTCACATCAAACATTAGCATCTTTGCACTTCTTTAACAGCATTCTAGATAATAGGAAACACTGTTTATTCCAACCATGAGTAACATTACATTTTTAGAACCGGCTCTTATCATTGGCATTAGCAAATAAAGTTATAAAATGGAAACTTATGATCTCGTACATAACAAAGCAGATAAATGTATAAATTAGATTAAAAGGACATGTCATATTAGAATATAGCATAGACTGAAGGAAAGTTGTTAGGAAGTTGAGAGCGAATACCTTCATTGACTAAGAAACAGGTATGTAAAGCAGGAGGAGGAGCTGGGTCAGAGCCAGAGTGATCAGCATCAGACCGAGCGGAAAGGACAGGTGCAGGAACTTGCAGAGGAAAATAGAAGAAATAAGAGAGAGAGAATTGAGCTACAGCAGTTTCTGAAAAAAAGCTCAGTATTAGTGAAGATTGAAAAACAAAGTTGGCAAAATGTAGTAAATGTAGAACTGAAAAATGATGTTTTATCAGAAGGGTAGGATCGTTAAGGATTCTAGCAGGGAAATGATGTAATTTATTCAATAGCAATCACAGTACAGTTGAAACTCCTCTTAAACCCAAAAGCTATTTAATATTAGAGTTGGATGATGGATCAATGGATACAAAAAACAGTTCTAAAACAACTATGGCTATAATGAAAAAAAGCCAACGTATTAAAAATTAGCAAAAATGTACTCCATTTTTAAATGTATTACATAATGAGAAGTTTGTTGGTCTTCATACTGTCGATTACACTTTTTTCCAATAATTTATTTTCTAACATTATGTTTAAACTTTTTGTTAATATCGCAAACCAATACCCACTGAGATCATTTCAATTTCCCACAGGTGCTTCATAAAAACTCAATTTAAAATATACCAACTTGTGAAGTATATACTACACTTAACTTTTGTGAGAAGAATCCTACCATAGCTTCATTCTTTGGAGCTCAAAAAATATTTTGATGATACAAAGGTTTCATACTCTAAGAGTTCATTGTGAATGATATAATCCTTACAGAATAGATGCAACACCCCACCCCACTCCCAAAGTTATGTTACCAGGAAAATGTTTCAGCTTCAATTATCATATGAAAAGGCAAAAGGACCGTATGGCACACACATTCTACAACTGGAGGTCAATGTTAAGATTTAGAGGTCACCATTTGACACTTCCTTCCTATGGAGAAATTACCATATGTCATGCACAAGCATCTTCAAATTAATCCCTCTCCTTTCTTCTGTCATTGAACAGCAATAGGTTTGGGCTCCCGAACAGATTAAGCATTGTCTGCTGAACGATATGTTTGCTTTTCATGCAGTGAAGTTCTTTTGTAACTACAGGGCAGCTGCATGAAAACAACTTTTCATAATTTCCACACGAATGCATCATAATGTCAATCAGGCACGTGTAAGGTAAACAGTAGAACTAAAAGTAGTACATGAACAGTAATAAAAACAGAAAATCCAGCTCAAAGAAGTATAATATACCCTAAGAAGTATATCTTGCACACATGAAAGTTTTATCTGGGAAATTATTTTTTTATAACAGACCTATTATTTGGTCCTTATGAAGTTACAATTATTTTATAATGTTATGCTTATGAAAGGAATAAAACTGCTCTTAATTGTATAGTTCATAAGATCTAATAGTTCCATTGTAAAGTAATCATGCAAAGAAATCCCAAATATTTCTCTATTCCATTGAATAATTTTTTCACCTAGAAGTCAAGGAATCAGATTTACTATGCTTTAAAAATCTCTATTACCACAAAAAAATACTTTATTCAGACTACATCATAACTGAACTGCAGAATCTAGAGCTACTTCCATAACTGAGAATTTTGAAATTAAACACCACTAAAGCTTTTAAAACTGTCCACACACAGAAATAAGAAAAAAGTACCACTCCAAAAATAAAAGCTCAAGATTTCATGACAAGTAATACAGCTGAAGAAGTTATGTGTAGCATTGAACATCAAAGATTTACACCATAAAACATAAGCATTTGATTTCTTAAAACAGAAAAGCTGTCATGTCAATTCAATTTGCTTCTCTTACTAAGGATTAGGGCAACACAAGGGAAACAGTTTCAACACAGCTCCAAATGGTGATAGAATTGACACGAGTTATTATTCTGAGCAAATTCTTTAACTAATTTTGCAGCTAAGAGCCTCTTTAACTGCTTACTCTCACATGAAAAGAAAATTGAAGATAAACTTGTGTGACTCCATGCACACATATGCTCTAGCTTCCTTTTAAATGGTATGTACGTAAGTACTCAATATGAGAATATTCTTGGTTATCTGTTTTTTAACAGGTCTAGTTTAGTCTTCGGTTGAAATCTGATTCTAAACTCCATTTTTCCCTACTGCCAAAAAAATGTATACACATTTTAAGATAACATCTCTTAAAATTTTAAGATAACATCTCTTAAAATGTGTACACATTTTTTTTTGGCACCCTTGGTATATATGACAGAAAGTTAACATATTTCAGGTAGCAAGTGCTCTCTACATATTGGTCTAAACATCATTAGCTTCCTGGTACTGAACACAAATAGCCCTTTCAATATATTTTTCAGAAGAAGAAAATTTAGAAAGGACAGAAAACCAAATGTGATACTTAAAGAAGAAAATTTTTTTCGAGGCATAACACTAAAAAAATGAATGAAATTATTTAATGATGAATCATTTTATCTAAAGTTTTATATGGTAATCATGAAGCTTCCAGAGGGAGGAGAGAAGGGGGAGAAGGCATTCCACACCAGGTCTGCCTTCTAATACAGCGATCTTAGAACAACACTTGGTTCTTTATAAACTTCCATTATGCTACATGTTTATGTCTTCAGCACAGGGGCATTCTAGCTATCTTTTAAATCAACACAAAGCATGAGGGCAAACTACTAATCAAACATTCTAAGGCCAAAAGGATATCCTTAAAACACTGTCAAAGAAGCATGAACACCTAAGGGCAATAGGAGAGGACCGAGTTTCAGGCAACAGAAAGGATAAGGACCTACCCATAAGGCAGAATGAATGAACAGCGCAAGATGGGTTCTGACAGACATCAAGGCAAAACATGAAAGTGTTGACAATGCCTGAAAAATGCTGTGACGCGATTTAACGACCCCTCGATCACCATCAGATGACATCAGAATTGGAATAAGTTCGGATATCTGGACAGTTTTACCTCGGCCTGTAACTCCAGCCAGACTCTCCTTCAGGACTAACATCTAAAATAAATAAATGAGCTAAGACGAAAACCCAAAACCATGGGGAAGAGTTCATGATGGTGAAAGATATAGTTAGAACCTAAACGTTAACTTGAATTAAACATATGAAGGCTATTACATTTTTCTACTTATTAATTAACACTTAATGAGTGCCTACTATGTGCCAGGTATTGGGCTAAGCATATAAAAACTCACAAGGATTGGACAAAGGTGCTGTCCTCAGGTACTCAGTATGGTAAGAAAAGCAAATCAGTAACCAATTAAAATATTATCATAAATTGCACTTCTTTGGAGCTCCTCCACTAGACATAAGCTCCTCGACAGCAGAAATTTATTTTTTAGTCCTTATAGCCTCAGCACCTAGTTATTAACATATTGACTCTGGAGCATAAAGAGAAGGTATCTATAGATTCATCATTCAACAAATACTTACTGAGCACCTTCTATCAGCACTATTCCAAGCACTTGTTATAAGTTAGTAAAAAAAAAAAAAGAATAAATGTCCCTGCCCTTTGAGCTTCCAAAGATCAAAGGAATAAGCTACTTTTTAATTTTTTTTTAAGGCACATAAGTTCCAATACAAAATTCTAAGGGGTTTTCAGGTCCATCCATTGACCTGATATACGTATTCCCAGTTTTTTGCTCTAGGCCTTAGGAAAGGATGGTGAGAAGCTATTGGTTCATTTATGTCATTAAGATAATTTAACAATGACCATTGCTTACTTCTAAGTTTAGACAACTTAAATTGAATTCACTTCTGAAAAATAAAATGCAAATAATGTAACATAACCTTAAATCTTTAAAGTGCTTAGACTTGCTTCCACACCTACCACGGAGGAAAGATGTAAGTAAGTACTAACGAAGATATGGTCGCAATCCAGATAAGCATAGACACACAGACCAAAGACTTATGCTGTGAAATTACTAGGCTGATCAAGAGAGTACAGTATGTCAGAATGGAGAAAAGCCTAAAGCCATGGGCAGATTTAAAGCTGTATGTCCACGAACAAAAGTTTAGTTTTTTTGACATCCCTGATCCCTTTCTCAAGTGTGATGTTTTATAAACCGCAAAATCAAGTATCTAAGAAATAACTGTCTCTACCAAAAAAGTACATGACTGTCAGGAAATGTTAATTATTGGCAAACACCGAATTAACAAACCTACTGTCAGACAAAATAAACCCCTTGTGAAGAAATTATTTTCCAATGAAAAACTCTGATATTGTTTATGAGAAAGCATGTTAGTTAAACTACCTATATCTTTATTCTCAGACCTAAATGTTTATGAAAGGTCTAATCCCTAGCTCAAGTCTTTGCTCCACGCAGATTATTTTGCAGCTGAATAAGTATTAGCCAACATAGAAGTGACACTTTATCGAAAAGAAACATATTCATGTTTGCAACCCAACTTGAAAAATGAATTGTGAGTCAACGTACACTGCAGTGGGTGTCAGGAAAAGACAACATAAGGAAGGAGGAAAATGTTTTGTAAAAAAACCAAGGTAAAAGAAGTCAGAGTAGAAGATGAGACTACATAATCCTCTAACTATTGAACTGTAGCAGAGAACTCAGAGCTTTTGTCTGTATCTCTTACCACTTCTTACCCTCAGTTGGTTATGTTCATGTATTATCTACTAGATGAAAAAAAACTACTCTAGAGAATATACATCAGACTAATCTCTCTTGCATCTCAAATAGAGTTGTTTGAAGGAAAAAAAAAGTGCTTCCCGAATATATGTTAAAGAGATAATTATGCCATATTTTTATTTCAATGTTCAAATAGAAAGTGGATTTCATTCCATCCTCAAGTATTTGACTGAGTAATTCTCAGTACTGACTGCTGCCCTTCATTTACTTTAAAGGACAAGCATCTGTGCTGTTCCAAATGCAAACTCCTAAATCTACCGTTTTCAGTAAATGCTTCAGAAAAAGACTCAGTTCTGAGTGCCTTCCTCACTGCTCTCAAAACGCAATGCTTTCTGACAGGAGCAACAATGAAGCTTTTCCAACTTTAAAATCCTCAAATCTGACCAGGTGAGCAGGTTCAATACCATAACGGTAGTCAAGTGTATAATGTATCGTGACAATGTCACAAATTATACTGCATTGCTTGTATCTGCTATGATTACAGGGGGAGAAAAATGTAATCCAAGAAGAAATATCAACTGCAAAGAATAATGAAGATGATGATGATGACAAGTAATGTCTCTAACAGGACTCAATCTTAAACAAAGCTTTAAACGAACTAAATGGAGAGTATGTGCCCTGCACTGATTTGTATTGTGTAATCTGGGAGATATTTTCAATGGATTGAGATCTAGACTTAAAAGGTGCTGGTTGTGTCCTAATCATTTTACCACAACTAACCCTAGTTTAAACACGTCTTTACCTGTGTGAGCCTGTTTCCATTGCTTCCTGAAGTAACGCTTTAAAAATATTAAAACTATGAAGGATTTATAAAGAACTTATAATTTTTTATGTATAATTTTTAATAAAGAATGTTTACTGTATAAAATAATAGTATGTTGTAAAGTCTCCAATACTCAACAAAATCGCTCAATTTTTTTGGAATGAAACTAGAACTCTCAGCTGTCAAATGACAGCAATAACATAGATGCAAATGACTCCAGTACTTCCAAAAATGAACTAGTGCCATCTGTCGCAAACATGCGTCATGACTTTTATGACAACCCAATACATATATACAGTGGAATATTACTCAACCATAATTAATGAATGAAATCTTTCCATCTGCAACAGCATGGATGAACCTGGAGCGTATTGTGCTCAGTGTAGTAAGTCAGATAGAGGAAGACAAATGTCATGATTTCACTTATAAGTGAATCTAAAGAACAAAATGAACAAACAAATAAAACAGAAACAAACTCATAGATGCAGAGAACATTTTTATAGGTGCAAGATTGGAGTAGGTGAAAAAGGGGAAGAGATTAATAAGTACAAATTGGTTGTTACTCAGTAGTCATGGGAATGTAGGGTATAGCATAAGGAATATAGTCAATAATATTGTAATAACTATGTATGGTGTTAAATGGGTTCTAGTTTTATCAGGGTGATAGATGGGAGATGGGTTGGGGTGAAAGGATTAGAAATACAAATTGGTAGGTACAAAATAGTCATTGGGATGTAAAGCATAGGGAATATAGTCAATAATATGGTAATAACTATGTATAGTGCAAGGTGGGTACTAGATTAGTCAGGGGGATCACTTCTTAAATTCTATAAATATATAACCATTATACTGCACACCTGAAATTAATATAAAATAATATTGAATGTCAACTGTAATTGAAAAAATAAAAAGGGAAGGGAAAGGTGAAGGGAATAAGAAGTCCAAATTTTCAGGTATAAAACAAATACATCATCGGCATATAATGTACAATATTGATAACATAGTCAATAATATTCTGATAGCATGGTATGATGTCAGATGATTGCTGGACTTATCATGGTGATCACTTCTTTAGGTATATAAACGTTCAATAATATATAAATGTAATATAATATTGTATGTTAGCTATATTTTAATAAAAATCTCAAAAAAATAAAATAATAGTATATTTAGAACATTTTAAATATAAAAGGAGAACTTCCACTTCTGGCCAAGATAGAATAACATAAAATAGATTTACAATCCCATCTAAAACAACGGCCCCCAAAAAAGGAGAAGAAAATAAAATATATAAAACAATTGTTCCAAGCCACAGGACATCTAGCAATGATGGACTGAGAGAGTCAGGAGCCCAAAGAAAAAGTGAGCCCCGTGGGCCGGCCAAGTGGCGCGTTGGTTGAGAGCTGGCTTGGGACACCAGAAGGCCCCGGTTCGGATCCCACATATGAGGGCCAGTGACACTGCCCTCTACAGCTAAGATGCTGAACAACAGCTCAACCTGGAGCTGG